ATTTTAATAAAAAGAAAAGGTGACATAAATACTTTATTATGGTATAGTATTTAAATATATACCTGAGAAACACATAATATTGACCCTTTAAGAACAGCCTCATGATGAAACACTGGTACATTTGGCTAAATCCATCTGAGGGACCCATTAACCAGAACAACACCGCCAGGAGTTTTCACTGCTCCCAAACCCTGAGCCCATTGATGTCTCCGACACAGAACTCATGAAACACACGGCTGCAGTTTACAACACGACAAGCTGGACTGGATCAAAGCTGCGAGGGATGAAGGCTGAGGCGGTGGAGCAGGAGAAACTAAAACAAAAACTAATTCAGTGGATTCTGATGAGGTTCAGAGAAAAACACGAGGCACAGATGAGATTCCAAACGTTGGACATTGTCCTCGATCGGCTGTGCCGCCGTGTTTCCTCAGCTCCTACATCCCTCCATGCCCTCAGGCAGAGACTGCTTTATTTACTCAGCCCAGCCCAGCATGGCTCTGTGGGAAATAAACCCACAAACTCTACTGGATACACCTCGAAAATCTGCCCTCCCGGGCATCGACTGGAAACAGAATCAGCTTTTATTCTGGGGTGTTTCTACCAAAGAGAGCTGTGAGTGGAGGAGCGCAGAGGAGAGGCAGTTAATTAGAATGAGAGGTTATCTGTCTGAGACACGACTGGCAACGCATCGGCCCCACGAGCCGGGACAGCAGCCGGCTGTGCTACTGCCAGCCGCTGTCCTTGAATTAATAAGGTACTAATCAACAACACGTTTTTCTGTCCGTCACATAATGACATCCCTCATGGACACACACACACACACACACACACACACAAGTTCCTACAAAACATCTGCCGTCGCTCTGCTGCCCGTCACCCGGCCCACGGCTCAATGAAGGACTGATGGACGTGGCCGCTCGCCCAACTCTGGTCCGATATAACCGACACTTCAAACAGGGCGGGGGGACGTAGGGGGTGGGGGGTACAGAGAGAGAAAACCTGCTCAAATCTGTAGGAAGCAACTAGAGGACACAAGGATGAAGGAAGCTCAAAATACACACCAAAAACTACCTGTTCCTCTGCTCCAACACACCTGATCTGATGATTATCAGGCTTCTGCAGTACGGAGCACCAACAATGACATCATTAGAAATAAAAGCAGGATTATATGAACCACTAAATAAATACACTTAAAATGCACCAATAAATTTAAAAAAGAACTTTATATCTCCT